GTACTATATGCGCAGTCAATTCAGTATTATGTGTGATGGTAAAACATTATAAGCTACCTCAATGTCCAGACACAGACACTGGTTGAATAAACGAGCCGTAAAAGCAAATGAGGATGTCTGTGCATTAATACGAAGTTAGTTCCAGGGTATAGGAAAAAGCAAAGTGCAAAACAGCAGATTAAACAGGTGGCCTTTCTTTTTGGTAGTAAAGAGGAAACAAGAAAGCATACATCTGTTTGCTTTTTTTTTTTTTCAAGAGGAAACAAAGAATAATAAACCAGAAAAAAAATGAACCAGTCACTTTATGACTGGTTAGAATTGGGGACTGAGTAGAAGGGACACGGTAGGGAAGTATTGTTCAGACTGACCATGTTAATGTTCTCTGTATTAAAAAAGTAAAATCAATAAGATTGAGGAGCAAAACTCCTAACACTAAATGCAAACAGCAACACATCCATGTAAGTTAGCTCACTGAAAGGAAAAGCTGAGTAAAATGTCAAATTAATAAAACAATATGGGAGGAGAGAAATGAGCCTCAGTAAATTTTGAATGAATTGGAATGAATCCTAGTATTGTGTACACCGGAAGAATATTTCAAAGCAAACAAACCCCAAGTTTGTCTTTTGTTTATTAATTAATAAGAGGGTATGAATATGGCAGTTGTGAAAACTTTTTCTGTGTATTTTAAGATTAAGGAAGTTTATAAATACATTTATATTGGTGGCCATGGTTCTCACTGTTGAAGTATGGGGACCCTGATATGAAATAAAGGGAGGCAAATAAAAAACATGCAGCTGGATTGGATGTAGAGATAACAGTATAAATTCAGGATTTCTAACACACACAACCTATAATCAGTACAACTCCAGTAGACATACAGAAGATAATTAAAGCCCAGAATTTGTTTCCAAATACCATTCTTTACTAAAAGGAGACAGGGTTTCCATCTTTACAGAGGGAAAGGTAAGAGATAAGTCCGGATCTTGTTTCAGAAATTAAATGCTCAAAGCATGGTAGCATGTTTAAAAAGCACAGACACTAGCTTGAATGGACTTCCAGGGCCAATTCAAAGACAATGTGGACCATTAAAATAGATGAGGACGGTAAGATCGTCTTCCCCATCAACTAAGAATCCATACTGATGACTGATCACTATAGATAGGCAGGTGGATGGTTGGAGAAGAAGGGAAACTCCTCCTGATACTAGAATTCTGACTAATAAGGAATAAATGGAATTAAAGAAAGGCACCGTTTTTCAACCATTATCGCAAAAAAAAAAATGCATAGTGCATTTGGAGTTACAGTTTGATGAGAAACAGGGTATTTACATATAGTCTCAAGGTATCTCCCCACTAATTACTAGTTATAAAAGGGCAAATAGAAATCATAGCTAGTGACTGAATTGGATGACATCCTAATAGAGTGACTGAGGTTAACATCAGTAGCAGGCAGACAGAAGCTGGGCTTCTGAATGTGTTCTTTGAGAAGAGCAAAGCATCGCGTAGTAGTTTGGCTGAAAACCTCTGAGTTTAATCATGAGAAATTATTAAACAGTCTGTAAAATAACTTACTAAAATGTCTGTAGCATGAAACTGAAAAGAGTTATTACACCAATACCTAATGTACACGTACAAGTTAATACTCTATTTAGAATTACTCTGAAACACAGGGTAAAGGGACACACAGTATGTGTTACCTGCTCTCACATGATTCAGAAAGTATGTGTTTGGTGGCAGAAGAAGGGAAGAAGAAGTGAAGGATTAAATAAATGTGGCAAAGCTAAAAATTGGCAAATCTGAGTTAAGGATATAGAAAAGTTCTTTTCTTACAGTTTTCCTCTAAGTTTGAAATTATTTTAAATTAGGTCAAATAAATGAATGTTCCTGGAAGCTTTAGTACAATTATTCCAAACTGGAAACAATCGAACTTACCAGTGTCATCAAATAATTTGCAGATACCCTTAGCTACACAAAACATTGGATGACTTTCACAGACATGATGTTGAGCCAAAAAAAAGCCAGATAAATGCAAGAATGTATAAAATTCAGCTGGATGCAGTAATTTATGCCTATAATCCTCGATACCTGGGAGGCAGATATGTTGGACTACAGTTCAAGGCCAGCCTGGGCAAAAAGTTCTGGAGACCCATCTCAATCAATTTTAAAAAAAAGCACCTGTCATCCCAGCTATGGTGGGAAGCATGAACAAAAGACTCCACCTCAAAAAACAGCCAAAGTAAAAAGGGCTGGGAGCGTGGCTCAAATGGTAGCATGCCTGCCTTGCAAACAAAAGGCCCTGAGTTCAAACCCCAGTACTGCAAAAAATAAAGTATAAGAATCAATTTATATGAAGATTTATGCATTTTGCATTTTACTCCAGACATGTGATACTTGAGTACATTATTAAAGTTTGTTTAAAAGTACCTGGAACAACGTCAAAGTCATTTGACGGGTGATGGTTGTAGCTCAGTGACATGCTTCACAGGCCCCTGGTTTGATCCCTAGCATGTAAAAAGTAAAACAGATGTGAGGAAAAAAGTGACTTTTCTTGACACGTTCATCTACATGGTCCTGCTCTGCTGTACTTGGTGGTGGTTCACAGAGTCTGATTGTTCTCACCTGTGATGTGCACTAGAGCCAGCACGGTGCCAGCGAGTCACTACCATAGCAGGGTCACTGCAGGAGCCCCCAAACAGAGTATCAGCATGCACTTTGCTGTGGCTTTTGCAAAGCTTTGATTTTTCCCCCTGGCTGCCCAACCTGCAGGTAAGTCTTCAGTTCTAGATCTGTTAGGCAAAAGAGCTGCTGAAATCCACACCCGGGAGAGAGAGAGAGAAGAAGGGAGAGGGATCGTGTGCGCGCAAGTGCACGTGCTCTGAAAGGTAGAGGGGTGGAGAATTGATTCACGTTGCTGTCTGTGCTGCATTCGTGGGGAGTGTTTAATTGCAGTTTAGCTAAAGGACCATGAACGGCAAGTGAGGAAGTGGTAACTCAGGCTGCAGCAGCTAAAGAAAAGGAGTGCTGTGGCCGCACAGGTAATGGGAAGGCGTTAAGACTATTTATTCCACAGCACATATTTATTTTGTAAGATAGATTTCTGTCAGCACTGGGGAAGCCAGCTACTTTGACAAAACACAATAGTGTGCACCTCAGGTGGCTGTTGAAAGGCAGGAGAAAATAATCATGCTTTCAGTGGTTTGCTTTAGGTAGATTGCATCACTATGCTAAAAAGAAAAGGCATTTGTTGTACTCACAAGATTTGTTCCTGAAGGATCAAATACTAGGGAAATTCCTGGACCTTCTTGTCACAGGATTATTTAGGAATTTGACATAAAGCATGAGAAATTTTAATACTTTCAAAAACCTGTTTTTGTTTAAAAGAAACACAGTTCCCAGTCCTTTACTAAACAAGTGATAATCCAAGTGTTAAGAGCATATTTTGCAATGGAAGTGCTATAAATCCTGGATAGTGTCCCTGGAAAGCCCTCAAAGTCAACTTAATTCCTAATACCATTAAATACTTTTTTTTTTTTCAAGAAGATACATTCTAGTCCTACTTACCAACACAGTAGTAGGTTCAAAATCTCCTTTCTTCTCCCACGGGTTGTTTTTCTGTACTCATCTGAGGCCACAAGAGCAGGAGAAATTCCAAAGGCCTTGTCTTTAGGAGAAGCCATCTGGTGACCCTGGAGGGACTTAGAAACTAATCTAGTAGGGCTCTGTAACTGACGGTGAGCCAGCCCTTCTGGTATCATGCTGTTGACAGTGGCTCTATCCGGGGATTTCACAGTCTGCTGACCGTAAGATTCCTAGTTCCTTAGGTTCCTAATATGTAGAGCTTTTGGGAGAGACAGTAGGTGTTTTTGCTTCTCTCCAGTGCCTACCTTTTTGGACTATCACACCTTGAGTTTTCAATTAGCAGAGTGTGTTTGTATTCCGGGTCCTCTTTGGCTTAACAGGTGTTGTTAAGAATTGTTGACAAGAAGGTAAATTCATTGAGATTCTTAGAGAAAAAAGGTGTTCATAAAGTATGGCTCCCAAGACAGGACAAGTTTGTGTGCAGTTAACTGTCCTGCCTGGCCTTTGAGTGTCACATTGCTCGGTGTATTTACCTCCTCAATTGCTTTCTGTGCTCAAGCAAGTTGGTGTGTCAATTTACAACATTGGTTGTAAAATCTTACCAGCAGGACAATAAAATGGGATTGCCACTCTTCTATTTTTTTTTTTTTTTTTGAGACAGGGTCTTACTATATAGCCCAGGCTTACTACATAGCCCAGGCTGGCCTTGAACTCAAGATCCTTCTGCCTCAGTCTCTCCGGTGTTGGGATTGTACACATGCACCACAGTGACCAGCTTAGTGATAAATATTCTTAATCACACTTTGGGCTTTACTAAATGGAAAAATTAAGGATGGTAAAACCTTACATTTTTAGTCTAAGAGAATATATTTTGCAGACTTTCCTTGGTCAGTGCTGTAGCTCTCAGACACACGTCTGTGATTCTAAAGAGACTGGTCTTGTTCCTCAGTGTGAAGTGGCTTTTCATTTGAATGGGCAGCAAGGCAGAGTTCAGATTTCTTGCTGTTTACAGGTGATGTTTAAGTGTTATCGTGAATGTTTCATCATTCTCATTTGTGACTCTCTCTTTTGTGTTGCAATTTCCAGTTCTTCCTCCTGTGCTGGTTCCAAGACACAGCGAGTATAATCCCCAGCACAGCCTCCTCGCTCAGTTCCGTAACTTGGGACAAAACGAGCCTCACATGCCGCTCAACGCCACCTTTCCAGATTCTTTCCAGCAACCCAACAGCCACCCATTTCCTCACTCCCCCAGCAGCAGTTACCCAAACTCTCCTGGAAGCAGCAGCAGCACCTACCCTCACTCCCCCACCAGCTCGGACCCGGGCAGCCCTTTCCAGATGCCAGGTAGGTAGGAGGAGATGTTGAGGGACATTCCGCATCAAATGGCAGTGGCCAGCCTGGCACGGAGGGAGGTCTCAGCCCTGGAGCCATGGCTCTGTGCTCTATGGACATGTGGAGGAAGGAGACTCGGAGCCAGGGAAGCAAATGTCTTGCTTTATTTGTCAGGCACATCTGTGCCTGACATGCTGTTGAATAAGCTATATTTTTCCTTGTTTTTAAAAAGTTTTGAAACAGCTGTGTCCTTCTGGGAGTGGCATAATTGTTACAGACTTTGCTCTTCATAAAAGAAAGAGAAAAATTGTGTGTTACACATTGCTTTTATGAGAAACAAAAGCATCAGTTCAGGCTCAGGAAAAAACCCTGCTGTAAGTGCAACCTCAGAGAAGATGTTTCCTGAGGGATCACACCCCCCATTTAATTAAATTCGTTTAAATGATGTAATCCCAAGAAACATATACTTTAACAACAAAGGAATTGCAGCAGAAGTACTGGGAACCATCTGCTTGTTTAACTTAGCAAAGACAAAAAACAGTTATTTTCCTTTTTTAGACATAACTGATGGTGTAAGAGTTAGCAAAATAAATGATTAATTAGGACATTATGTTTTTCAAATTACGGGTTAGTAAACAAGCGTCTCAGAAAAAAAAATGGCTTACCAGTTTCTTGCCAATGAGACCTCAAAATGGATACTTTTAAGAAAAAAATATATATACTTGAAATCCATTCATATTTTTGAAAGGGAAAATGACTGGGCAAACATTTATTGAGTGACATGAAGTGTTTTTAATTAAGTTTGAATTCAACATCAGTGTTGGGCCTTCAGAAAATTGAAAAATGATCCATACTTTATATTGCTTCCTTTTTTAATGTAGTTATTCCCTTTTATTTTAAGCCTGTTTGTTTTGTATTGTGTTGTTTGTTTTTGAGTCTAACACTGTTTGGGATTAGGTGGGACATAGATTAGTTTAAGAATGAAATTCATGAATGTGCTGAGTTCATGTCCACCCCAGTCTTGTAGAGCTGTTGTATGACACGGGCAGGTTAGTGATGAGGAGAGGTGTCAGAGCACTTCTCAGTAGGGGCAACCCAGGTGAGCCCAAGTGAAAAAGCTGTGGGTCATTCCTTGAATTTACACAAGTAGAGAAAATACGGAAGAGAAAAGAGGGGCCCCGGGAAATAGTAGACCCCACCACCAGTAGTTACCTGGCCTCTCTGAGTGGTACTGAGGCTGCAGGTTGCCAGGGAAATTTTCACCATCTGGTTGGTGGAAATTCATCAGATCTGGACTCAGAAGAAGCTTTGTCTTTACTGCTGGCTTAGGTAAAGCAGAATCAGCCTTACAGCTGCCGGGAGGAAGGGTGAAAAGTCATCCAGATGCGGTCCCTGGAGTCCCTTCGGGGCTTTGAGTCACTGTTAGCAGCTGGGCAGTGAAGCATGCGGTTGGGATTCACCTGGAATCAGTGGAAGTCACTGGGAAGTCCTGCAGGAGTTGTGCTAGTCGTTTGTGTTTGATAGATGCCTTAAGTACTCATCCAAGCACTCAGGAATCCTCGAGGTAAAACCTGTGTCCCCAAGGCTATGTCATACATGCTGGATGGGCTCCCGAGAGCCAATGAGGAGCTAGGTTTTAGACTTCGAAGGGCTGTTTGTGGGAAACCAGTGCCCTTTATTTTATAGTGTGAACACCTCAGACTTACATTCATGTGTGATGTTTCAGAAATCGTATTGTTTGCCCTTTTTCACCACCTGGCGGTATGCAATTCAGAAGAAACATGTAAATTCTGAGACAGAAGGCCGCTAAAGTAAACTGATTGGGTTTCTATCATTCTGTTACTAGGGATTGTAGAACTAGTGATTATTTAAATGATTAGGAAGAAGGTGTTCCTAACATGGAAAATAAAAATTTTAAATCAGTAGGCTATAATGAAATTTGGCTTTAAATTCCTAAAAGCCCATAAATTTAACGTAAGAGACCATGAAAGCTCCTCAATAAGTCAGATGTTTTCCTTCCACCAGTGAAACTGAAATGCAGAGATCTCTCAGAGCACACTGAGAGTGTGAAACACCCTTCCCACTGGTTTTAGCACCACCCTGGATGGGCAGTCAGCTCCTGAAACTGGCATGTGATGCTCTTCTCCCCATTGAATTATCACTGACAACATTCAAGGTTTGGGGGTGGTAACCACTTTCAGAAATTGTGCGCCAACTCTGGTGTATGTAGCATCATATCTTTTGATGTAGAAGTTGAAATGGCAACTTGATCTATAAGAATTTTGGCACAGAAGAGAATCTTGTTTTAAGCATTTAATTTTTTTTTTTTTTTTTGAAACTCTGCAGCTGATACGCCCCCACCTGCTTACCTGCCTCCTGAAGACCCCATGACCCAGGACGGCTCTCAGCCAATGGACACAAACATGATGGCACCTTCACTGCCCTCAGAGATCAACAGAGGAGGTAACATCAGTTAATGCTTATTCCTGTTTTAGAGTCTAAAGACTATATACCCAAATATTAACTTTCTTCCACAAATTTTTATTAGTCTTTAAAAAGACTAATAAATAATCTTTGAGAAAAGTAGAGCACAATAAGAGAAGCCCAGTGGAAATACATCTTTTACTTAAAGAGCAAATACACTGACTTGAGTATAATTGTGCAGTCATCTGTATAGATCATCAATACTTAATTTAGAATTGGTGATGAAAGGGATGTTTTTAAATGGACAAAGAGGAATTGAGAAATAGCTTAGACTATCAGCATAGGCAAAACTAAAGTGGAGTTTTTTCACAGGTGATTTTCAGAACTAGAAGTTCATAAAACTGGGTTTTCCAGGAGGTTTCTTTTATGGTTAGAATAGATACTCATAAACCCCACTATTTTCTAGCCCTCATCTATGTATCCCTGCCACTGAAACAAACTAATAGCATGTGTTCTTTCTTGCTGTGTTTGTTTCTAACTTTGTTACCAAAGGAAGGCAGTTTTTTCCTTTTTTACCCTTAAGAACTTACCAGCAGAACTGAGCATTTCTTTCCCTCTCTAGTGAAGAATAGGTCTTTATTTCCAGCTCTGTTTTATCCTTGCCAGTGACTGAGTGGAGGATACCATCCTTCTTCCAGGCTGGCAGTATCCAGTTGAGGAGAGTGAAGGGGGCACAGAGCTCAGGTGATAGAATCGCCATGGTCACCCTGGTGGAGAAGCTCCTGGAGCAAGGTGCTGCACCTGTGCTCACCATGCAGTGTGAGCTGTTCAGTTGCTGTAAGGTTTATGCAAATTGAAATTAGACTGCAATTGGAGTGCTTGATAGGTCTTATTTCATGTTTAGCACTTTAATTAATATAGGGGATGCCTCAAACTTTATGAACTCAGTGATACTTACATTTTTTAAGTACTTGAAATTTGATGATGTCTGAATGATACTATAATGATAGCTACATGTCATCACACACTCATCCAGACCCATAGAATATACACTGCCAAGAATGAACCCTAATACCAACTATGGACTTTGGGTGATACTGATGTGCCAAACATACCACTCTGATGTGGGGAGCTGTGCATGTATAGGGGAGAGGGGCATGTGGGAAGTCTCTAACTTATACTCAATTTTCCCCTGAACCTAAAACTGCTGTAAAATTTTTATGTAAAAATATTGATGAACTCAAAGACCCTTTCATAAATGTGCATTGTAATAAACTGGAATGTACAGCTTTTTAATCAGTGAAATTTTTAACATTTTAAAATTCTATTTTTACTAGGCTCTGTATTTTATGGCTCCCAAACATATAGGATCTGATTGGGAAGATAATTTTACCTCCCCTGTTTGGGGAATTTGTGTTTGGAGAACAGGCTAGCAGGAAAGAACAGCTCTGGTGCCACACCATGTTTGGAGCATGTGGACCCTGTAACAGTGTTGTTAAGTTTAAAATGCCTATTTGGGGAAATAGCCATTGTTTTAAGATTTTTCCCTTTTTTATAGCTTTAGAATTTTCTTCCTATATTCTAGTAAGTTTGCAACCTGTTAATGTTTTTGTAAAGAAAGAACACTGGCCTTTGTCTTATTGTTGCCTTTGCAGAGGAGTCAGCAAACTATAGTCACAGCCAATTCAACCTGCTGCTGTTCTGTTTTGTTTTGTTTTTAAATAAAGCTTTATTGGAGCACAGCTGTGTTCATTCATTACATATTATCTGTGACTGCTTTTGTGCTGCAAGGGCAGAGTGGAATAGTTGTGATAAGGACCATATAGCCCACAAAATCCTTCTGGCCTTTTGTAGAAACAATTTCTCAGCTTCTGACATAGATGAGTGGTATTTTGAACAATCCTGATAGCTGATGAAAAGCTATCCCTGAGATTTGGCACTTGTAAATTACCAAAAAGTTTGCTCTTTGAAGTGTGGCAAAATTGGCAGACCAATAGTTGCTTAGCAAACAGGGAAAACTGTGTTTTCAAAAAGCTGACCTACTTAAATATGTAAAGCAGCTAACCTGTAGAGTTTTAAATCATCATATTTTCCTTGTTTTCTTCACCAAATTCTAAAGTAAAGTTAATTTTATTATCTGCCAAGGTTAATGTTAAGAACACAGAGGTACTTCTCCCTTAACAGAACCTCCAATGTGGATTTTTCTTTCAAAATTTTTATGATCGTACACCCAAGACTTCATAAACCTCCGATCACTGTACACTACTATGTTGGAAATGTTGTGGTTTGTATTCCTGGAATCTCTAAAGCGTGGTACAAGAAGTTTTACTACAGAAGGAACTTATCTTAAAACCTTTGAGTTGCAAGTGTTTAGAAGCATATTCTCTTTGGCGATTTGTTAGCCTTCAGAGATTTGACTTAACAAGCTGCATCCTGTCGGTAAAGTTGGGTAATTTCCATTGTTGGCCCATTCTGGGAATGGAGAGACAAAACACACCTGCTCTGCATGACTTAAAGCAAATATAAGGAAGTTAGCATGAAATCTGGATGAGAGAGATATGATTCATTCTGTGAGAATGGCCAGCTGGCTTGCCATTTCTTCCTGAGTTTGAGAACCAGAGCAAAATTGGAGCTGTGATCATTACTGGCAACTTAATATGAAGCAAAATAACTTCTTATCAATAATTAAAGTTGCTTTTCATTGCTTAGAAAAAGCAGAGGTATAACAAGGCTTTGCCAAAAGCAATTCCTTTTTATGACAGCCCCCTTGGCATCTCCCAGTCTTTGCTGTCCTCTTCCTGGGAACTTGGCTTTTCACTTGTCACTTGTCGCACTTCTTTAGAAGGTGAGCCAGGGTCTGTGGCAGGAGTGATTGGCATTTCTGCATATTAAGGAGCGAGGAGCATATTGTTAGTATTTGCCAAATGCTGTTCCCTAGGCTTAGGTAACTAGTGTTTTGGTTTTCCGATAGTAACTGGAGAAAATTGCTTCCCAATTAAAGAAGAATGTCTTGCATGCTAAGAAGTACTGGCTTTAGACGTCATGGAAAAGCTTTATAGCTTATCGTCACAGTTGCCTTTCCATGTCTTCATTCCATGATACTGAGACAATCTTACAGTGCAGTTTCAGTTTTTGAGAGCTGGAGGCACAGCAAGCCTTGGCTGACAGAATATTCCTTTTCTTCCTTGCAGATGTTCAGGCAGTCGCTTATGAGGAACCAAAACACTGGTGCTCTATTGTCTACTATGAGCTCAACAATCGCGTGGGTGAGGCATTCCATGCCTCCTCCACAAGCGTGTTGGTGGATGGTTTCACTGACCCTTCCAACAATAAGAACCGTTTCTGCCTTGGGCTGCTTTCCAACGTTAACCGGAATTCCACTATCGAAAACACCAGGCGACATATTGGAAAAGGTATGACTTCTCTTTAACCCCTCTCAAATGTTTATCTGATGTGTTCCTTGTCCCCCAGAGGTGACTCAGTCCATTCCTGTGGCAAACAAATGTAGCAAACACCAGGTAATGGTCAGGTACTAGAGTTTGAAATAGTTTACAAATTAATTAATTTATTTAATTTTATTTTTGTGAGGTGCTAGGCAAGCGCATTTCCACTGAGCCATTGGCCTTTTTGAGACAGGGTCTCACCATGTATCCCAGGCTGGCTTTGAACTCACTATCTTCCTGCCTCACCATGGTGTACATGGGGGATTTTGTTCCACAACCCTGAGGAGACTAAAATCCATCGATGCTCAGGTCCTTTGTGTAAAAGTGTGGACTATTTCACATAACCTATGCATGTTCTTGAGCGTTCTTTAAATCCTTTCTAGATGACTCGTAACTAATACATTGCAAATGCTGTTGTAAACAGTTGTTGTACTGCATTGTTTAGGGAACACTGACAAGGAAAAAAGTCTGTACATGTTCAGTACTGACGCAGCTTTTTAAAAAAATAGTGTTGATCTGTGCGTGGCTGACTCTGGACTCAGAGCCCACAGGTACTAAGAGGCACCTGTACTTAACTGCAGGAATGAATTTTAAACCGTTGTAATACAATACTGCTGGGTCTGGTGACGCGTGCCTGGGATCCCAGCATTCAGGTGACTGAGGCAATGGATCATGAGCTCAAAAAAAAAAAAAAACTCATTTATACGTCCATACCAATAATAAACAGATTGAAATGAATCAGGAAGGCTGATTGGTAGACGTAGAGCAAGAGTGTTAGAATGGAAAATCATTTTGCCACTGTTGTGGTAAGAATCAAGCAAGAGTCACTGACGAGTGCCTAGTATGAGAAGAAATTTTTATGAGAATCAGGGTATTTGCATGGTCTTACAGTGTTCCCCTACAAACTATTACTGGAAGGAAGAATAAGAAGCAGTACTCACAAACTGGAGGAACGGTATAATTTATAAGTGAGTGATTGTCACTGGGGCGTCAGAATTGTCATCGTCAGTGAGAGACAGGAGGATGTAGCCTTCCAGATGGAGAAGGCCATAATCTCACCTACACAAAGAGAGTGCAAGTCTGAGCCCAGTCCTGACGAAACATCAAACAAACCGAAGATGAGGAGAGAATGAGAAGTGACGGTGAGGTGACGGTGTTCTTCCAAAATATCGGTCACAAGACAAAAAAAGGTGTAGAAAGATTCCAGATCCAAAGAAGTTAAAGAATATGACAGCTAGCTACAATACGTGACCTAGACATGTCCTGTAGCGGACAGGGAAAATACGATGTAAGACATTTTTGGGGATAGCAGGCCAAAGTGGAATGTGAGTGGTAGATGAGATAAAAGTGTTTTAGCAATGTAAAATTTGCTGGCATTGCTAACTGTATTGTGGCTGTGTACGAAGCCGCCTTGCATATTTCGTTGGAAATACACACTTGCAGACTTTCAGTATCTGGGGCAAGGGCTATGATGAAGTAGTTGAGAAAGAAATTATGTATGTATAAAGATACTTGTCTATTGTCATCTGTCTCTTATCTAAAATCCTGTATCATACAGTGTGTGTGTGTGTGTGTGTGTGTAGGGGCGGGAGGGAGGCGCAGATGATAAAACAAATGGAGTCAGTTGTCACAGCAGAAGAATCTGGCTGATGGTTTATATAGGTATTGTTTGTTCTTTTTCTTTGTTTTTTGTTCTGTTTCAAACTGTTCAATAAGTTTGAACTTTTTTTCCCGAGTAAAGGTTTTTGTTTTTTTTTAAATGGCCTAGTTTAAAGTTTACAGCAGTGGACCAGACTAAAAAGGTTCTTTTATTAGGCTTTTAAAAGGCATTTGAGATAAAGTTTTAACATTTAATGCTCCTCTTAAAAAGGAGTTGATAGATATTTCCTTAATACGATTAAAGGAAAAAAATGACACAGTCATGAAATGAACTTAGGTTCATAGTACACAAAGATGTGTGTTTATGGTCTTCTGGTCTCTAAACCCATGAAATTATATGTAAACACAGTTTTGCATTTGGGATGGAATAACATATTTTTCATAAAATTGTGAAGGTGACTATCCCCCCCAAAGTAATAAAAAGCCATTAGTACAATTTCCTCTTTAAAAATTAGGAGGGAAATAAGAATTCTGGAAATGCTATTACTTAAAATTGTTCCAGATGACTAAGTAGCGGAGTCCAGTGCAGATTACAAACAATGGAAGGAAGCCATGGTTGTCATTATTTGCAGATGAAACAATTGTTGATAAGCCAAAATCTCTTGATTTATTTTGCCAAATTACTTTCCCCAAAACTTTTTTTTTCAAGAAAAATATTATTAATTTACACTTGTACCAGAAGTAAGTATGTGCCTCTTCTTTATCATCCCAATATAACGGTGAACATGGGTCTTACTCAAGAGGTTTTGTTTATCCAGAAGTCTCCAGTTTTGTTTTTTTTTTTAATTCCATCATTCTTCCTAATCTGGCAATAACTACTTAGAAAATATAGAGGGTGAAATCCCATTCCCAATAACAACAGAAAACATAAATTTCTTGGAAACAATGAAAACTGCAAGATGTGAGAATTATAGAAAGAAAATCAAATTTTACTAAGAAAGAAAATTTGAATAAAAATAGGCAGTCTTTATTCCTTAAAGGGGTAACTTCTTATCATGAAAGCATTTTAAATGGATATTAACCCTTTTGACTTAATTTGTACTTTAAAACAAATTAAACTACAGTATAATGTTTTGTGAAAGTTGGATAACGTATTCTGAATATTATCTGGAAGTACAAACAAATGAGAACACTAACTTTTTAAATGGAAGAGTAAAGAAATAAATTTTGACACTAGGGTTAATAAAAACATTGTGACACTACAAGCAAATCACTGTGTAGACAAAACAGGAGAATAACTGTACTACGTAAAAAATTTAATGGTAAGTGAGGTATAACAAATCAGTAGGGTCTTCTAATGCAATAAGAAAGCTAGGTTTTGGGAGGGTGACAGGGGAAACCATAAGCCCATACCAGATATGTGAATAAATTAATATTTTTCAACAAGTAAACAAAAAGGCTAGACAAAAATATATTTGACTTGAGGTAGAAATTTTCAAAGCATAAAAAAGCAACAAAAAAGATCACAAGATGTTTGACTAAAGGAATTCAAAGTTCTCTAGGTTAGGTATATAATAAAATTCAAAGAGTAACCAGGAAATACAACAAAACTTACTTATGTTTAGCCTGTAGTCACAGCTCATAAAAAATGAGTAAAATACTAGAAGCCTAGTGGGATAAGTAGGTTAAGAAATAGGAATAGTGAATTCACAAGAGGAGAATGGGGGGCTAATAAGCTATCATCCAGTCTCACATGCAAGCTGAAAGTAATATTTGTCAGCTGTGAACTGGGGAAATTTTGCTTTTGTTTAAGCTCTGATTCAATATTGGCATAGGTCAAATGGGAAAGGCCCTCATGCCCTGCTGATAAGGGTGTAAATTGATCCGAGCATTCTGGAAAGTGGTTTGACAAAGTGAATCAGAAGCCTTCGATCCAATGATCTAACTTCCAGGAATCTCTCCTAAGGATATTATTAAAAACTGTCCAGAGGCATTCTATGATGACATTCTTACAACAGGAGAAATTAGCACCAGCACAGTGTCTACCAGTGGGAGAACTGTTTAATAAATTTTATTTAGCCAGTCATACAGAAATTTTTCAAGTTTCCAAAGAAATTTTAATAAAACTGAATATAGTGTTCAAACTATTAACATTTATTTCCTGTACATCACTAAAGGCATGATAATATTTTCTATATCTTGATATTTTGATTTATTTCCTAAATTCATTTTCTAAATGAAAACTCATCATTCTTATAATTAGGGGAAAAAAGTCTTTCTCATAAGTGGTTTTCTCTACAATAGGGCGGGGGGGGGGTGGTCTATTTCTGGCTTGTAGCTGTTACAGAAGTGTGTGCATAAAAACACCACAAGATAGTCCCTATGAGACAGTCGGAGCATCGACTGAGCCATGCCAGAGTTACTTGCCAGGTGGGTTTGAAAAGCAGGTGGCTTGTGACTGCTTGCCGGGTGCCCCTTACCAATTGCATTAATGTGTCAGAGGTCTTGTCCCCTCCCTCTTCTAAAGGCTGGTGAGGGTCTCCAAGAAGAAGTTCGCAGCAGGTAGTATTTTGGTGAACTCTTTTTGTTGTTGTTCACACAGTATGACGTTTTTCCTAGCTTAATTTTTATTTTTTTAAACTAGACCTTATATCTTACAGCTCTCAGAAATACTTCTTACAGCTCTGTTTTTCTAGTTTCTCTACCTTTCTTGATTCTCTCTTCTCTCTAAAATTTTCCAAATGATTTAGCTCCAGAATAAAGGCAAGAGATCTTAGATGATGGGTACATGTAGGGATCCCACAATTAAGTCCAGGTTTTACTGTACTCTATTTTTAATAAGAGTATACTTTCAACTATGGCCATATAAGGTGTTAAATGCTTACCAAGATGAAATTGTTGTACTCTGTTACTGTTGTGAAGAAACTTGTTCTATTATTTCCTAGAAACCTCCCTGAATGTGTTTGTTGATAAGTGAACAGTGGATGTTGTGTTAACTGAGATTTGATCAGTTGTGCAGGACTGGGAGGATGTCTGGAATCAGCCTAAGTTTAGACCATGTGACTGTCTGTTTATATGTTGAAGATGCAGTTGCCCTTCAGCTGTAATGACTAAATGATATGGGTTATCTTCCTACAGGAGTTCATCTTTATTACGTTGGAGGGGAGGTATATGCCGAATGCCTCAGTGACAGTAGCATCTTTGTGCAAAGTCGGAACTGCAACTATCATCACGGATTTCATCCCACTACTGTTTGCAAGATTCCTAGTGGATGTAGTTTGAAAATTTTTAACAACCAAGAATTTGCTCAGTTATTGGCACAGTCTGTGAACCATGGTTTCGAGACGGTCTATGAGCTCACAAAAATGTGTACTATACGCATGAGTTTTGTAAAGGTGAGTGGGCTCTGAGTCCTCTAGATCAGGTTTTGACACATTTTGCTATGCTTTCTCTCAATATGTAAGTCTGTATTCTCTTGATATATGTCCATATTAGCATACTTATCATCTGTGGATTTTTAAGACTTAGCATTTACTAAGAGAACATCATTGGAGCACAGGAGCACTTGTGTTAAATGTCAGTAGCAGAAGCCTTTATTAACCTTCTCCTTCTTTAGGAGCCACTGTCTCAGCTGCTGTAGACTACTAGGAAACGTTGTGTATATAACATTCCATTTATATACATCGTTGCCTTTCCTTCTTGTTCTTTGTTCCTAGTACTTTTGTGATGTTAATGTTTGTTGCTTTGGGGTCAACAATAAGCAGCTGATCTTTTTGTAAAAATAGAATTCTATCACACTGGAAGTTATTTTTGATTGATCACAATTGTGTGTGTGTGTGTGTTTGCTTTTTAGTGTATCTAGTAAATTTCATGTTTTTTCTTATAATTCAGAAGTTAGGCCCTGGCCTGACAGTAAATAGATGCCTTAGTTCTTACAGTGTACTGTAAGGGGTGAAGATCGAGGAGGTTAAAGACATGCTCATAACAGTTGCTCTTAGCTGTCTCCTCTTCTACCTCTGAGAAATAAGTTTTTAATAAAGACGACATTGAAACATTTAAGAAATTAAATATCTGATTAGATTTCATGAGTCAGTGACTTGCTCTACTAACTAACTTGTTTCTGAATTCTCAAAGATAACTTTTCATCCCGTGTTACTTTGAGAAACAAAACTAATTATATACTTGGGAAGGCAGTCACCTTTCATGTGCTCTCTTCAGAAGCTCACCTCGCTTGTTGTTAAACCTGTTTGCAGTGTATTTATTACTGAGGATAATTTTGGAACTTACTCTTGTTAATAACTTCTAGATCAAAGATACCTTTTCCTGAATAACATTAACTGTTTTTTCCTACTTCTTTGAATCATCTTAGTAAATTTTCACTATATTCTTTTGTTGCTGCTGTTTTTGAAATATAATTGAACAGGTCTATGCAGATGAGTCTGGTAACTGGTAGGAAAGGAGATTTTTTTTTTTTTTTTACCCCTTAAAAAGGTTGACCTATATGCTGTGTACATATGAGGCTACAAAAGACTTTTCTTAGTCATTATTAACTTTCACTGTTTAATTTTCAACTCAGCATTTTGGCTCCAATGACTTTTTTAAATGAAGCCAGTGACTTGCCAGAGTATATTCTGGGGTTTTTTGGAGTTTTTGTTTGTTTGCTTGCTTGCTTCTTTTCTGGTGTTTGGGGTTTGGAGCAAAGAAGAGCTGTTGAAAGTCAAGAGATGCAGGTTCCAGTTCCAGCTGCCCTTTTACCTGTGTGGTTAGACACAGGCACTCTGCTCTAGGCCTCATGCTCATCATCTGTAAACTGGGAGTGGATGAGGAGGAGCTGCAGTTTCCTGTGGTCTCTCTAAGAAGAACCACTTTGAGAGGATTTATGGCTCTAATGCTCCAGTTAACTTTCTTCTCAGTTCATTTCCTATTGATTATTCAGTCAATTTTAACTATTTCACTTCTGTGCAATTTCAGTTATTTACTTTTACACAAATAAAAACCTTTAACAGAAGGTATTTGTGATGCAAAGGTATGCGTTCAAAATGTATTAGATTTCATTGTTGCAGCAAGTATTTTAGTACTGTTCCAGAGAAGTAATTCAGAGGTGAAAAGAGACCTACGGTCCCTGGCTTCAGATGCTTATGGCTCCTCTAGAGCACAGCCTCTGATATTCCTCATGCAGCAAGAATTGACCAGAACTCCATGTTTGGTTGTCCACTTGTGCCAGCAAGTTTATGATCCATAGTAGCAAAATTTTATGATGACTTCAAAACCTTATTTTCCTAATTCAGAAATTCCAAAACCATCTGGCAAGCTACTTTGTTGTCCAGATAAATGATGGAATCTGTTTCTTCAAGGCAGTGGCTCAAGCTCTGGGGATACATACACAGTCCTGCCAGTTCCACTTAAAGGCTGAAGGCTCAAGAGGTCTGTGTTGATAGGAGGCCCTTCAGTAGCTGACTCAGAAAGAAACAAAATGTCAACTTGTCTGATGCAGACTGTCATTGATGATAGGCAGGAATTTAATAATAGCTGTAACATGTAATGGGAGATGAGTATGAAGTTTAAAAGTGTCTTTATCAAAATACTCCACGACGTGTTTCAAAACTTTAAGTCCCGAATCCATGGGTGGACTTTGGTGGCCAATAGCTATCCCCTGAAAGTTCCCCACCACTTTGTGTGTCTTTGTGTATGTGTGCGTTTGTCTTATAGGAGAAGTCCAGAGCTTTAAGCAGAATCTCTGATCATGTGAACTCTTTTTACTTAGGAAGTTGAACCACTGAGTTCAACAAGTGAGATGACCTCTCCTGTGTTTTTTTTTTTTCTCCTAGGGTTGGGGAGCCGAATACCACCGCCAGGATGTTACTAGTACTCCCTGCTGGATTGAGATACACCTGCACGGCCCCCTCCAGTGGCTGGATAAGGTTCTTACCCAGATGGGTTCACCTCATAATCCTATTTCATCCGTGTCTTAAAGGGCCCCCGGCTTCTGCCTCTTGAAAACTATTGAGCCTTGCATGTACTTGAAGGATAGATGAGTCAGACCCAAGGAGCGCTGACAACGGAGCCGTGATCATACTTGACCTCTGTGACCAACTGTTGGATTCAGAAGTTTAAAAAGCCTTGGTAACATGCTGTTGATATCAAGAACCTGTTTAGTTTACATTGTGACATTGTATTGTAAAATCACCTAAAATGCAGACGTTTAGCAGGACTTTGTGTATAGCTAAAGAAGATGGTCAAGCCAGGGACAACTCATCCATTAGAGGAGCAGTCCTAAGAGATTCTTTTGGTGTCGGCACTTTAAGGCCATCGTTTACAGAAGGTTAGCATTAACAGTCAGTCTTTCTGAGGTGTGTTTTTATCAGGTTTAGAGCCCATGTCGAATCTTCTTTTCATGGGTTTTCATAATATTTTAAAACTATTTGTTTAGTAATGGTTTTTGTTTGTTTGTTTTTTTGAGTAAAGGTTAATCTTTATGATACATAGTAATCTTTCTAAAACTGTATCCTGACCATACTGCTGTCAGAATAATGGTAGACATATGCTCTTTGCTAAATATGTATGTACAGAATATTTGGAAGTTAAAAATTGAATAGACTAGTGAATCTAGAAGTATTCAGGGGGTGAGGGAAAGGGAAGTGACAACTGCAAATGTAGAATATACTGTAAAATTCAGTTTGTTGCCTTAAACAAACTGGTGTCTGAATTTTGCTGTGTTTCAGTTTTTTAGAGATTTTATCGTACTTATTTTTCTTGGCATTCTTCTATCCCATCCTCTCCAAAAAGCAGTTCTGCAGCTGGTTAATTCATATAACTGTGAGAGCAAATGAATAATTCCTGCTGTTCTCAAATTGACTGCCTATATGTTTCAATACCAAGTGTAAAGGAGCGCTTCAATTTAATAAGCAGTTTTTATGGAGTTTACAGTACAGAAATAAATAGGCTTAATTTTCAAGTGAATTGTTTGCCAAACTTAATAACTCTGTTCAATATTTGGAGCATTTAAAGAACATCCCTGTTTAAATCCATTTCAGACTTTTTTTATTTTTTTGTACTATGTTTGGTTTTATTTTTCTTCTGTTAATCTTTTATATTCACCTATGCTCTCGTACATTGAGTACTTTTATTCCAAAACTAGTGGGTTTTCTCTACTGGAAATTTTAAATAAACCTGTCATTATTGCTTACTTTGATTAAAAATTTGTCATTTCCTTTCTTTACATATTAGACTTTAAGATTTGTTACTCTTTCAGGAATTTTTTCTCAAACACTCTGTGACAAATATAACAATCTAGCCGGGCGCCAGTGGCTCATGCCCGTAATCCTAGCTACTCAGGAGGCAGAGATCAGGATCACAGTTCCAAGCCAGGTAGTCAAATAGATCACAAGATCCTATCTCAAAAATACCCAACACAAGACTGGGCTGGTGGACTGGCTCAAGTGGTAAGAGCTCCTGCCTAGCAAGTGTAAGAGCCTGAGTTCAAACCCAGATGCTGCCTATCAAGCTAAATTACTCATGGAGACAGTGAAGCCTAATGGTGAAAAGAGCACGGTGACTTAAACTAGAAGAAAAAGGGAGGACATGAACAACTTGAAAAATTAAGGAAAAAAACAGTAAAAGCTAAAGTTTTTCATATGAAGAATACAGCAGCCACAATTATCGGTGGGTACCACTCAGTCAAACAAAAGAACCAATTTCTGAACTTCAGATGAGGATGCAAAGGTGACTGTGGGAGATGGAATGGGAGAGGACTGAGAACTAGGACTGCCACAAGAGAAAATGATGACTTTTTGCAATCTTTCTTGGGATTAGGAGCTCCCACCCCCTCCCAAAGGGAAAAAAAAGGAAAGAAACACTCTGCCCATAAGGAGCACAGATTTTGAGGACCCTTCTTTCCTGGCCACATAGATGTCTTCCTCCTTCACATTTCATGTGTCTTTCCCAAAGTGTGTGTAAGCTCTAAAATTTAACACCAACTTTAGCCCAGTTTAAAGAAGAATGCCTTAATTTTTTTTCCCCTGAAAATGCGTTTATTACCCAAACTATGGCCAAGCAAAACTTTCTGCAAATGTAGAATATACTGTTGTCTCCAAAAGCATCATGGTACCAGTGGAGAAAGCCCAGGCCAGAAGATGTGTGTTATAACACAAATTCATGCTCATCTTTGCTGGGCAAGGATGGACCTCTGTTGGTCACTTGTTAAGAACAGAGAGTGTATTTGTGTCCTCATCACAAAACTAAATTGTGAATCATGTCAATAAAAATATGTATGAAAATACCTTAGAAATGCAACTGCTGTGCAAGTACAGGGGTCAAAATTTTTTTGGAATCTTTCCTATGGTGTGTATTTTCCCGTTACCCAAATCATTCAGGTGATCTGAATTGATGATAGGGCTTGGCAAGATGTAAACAAAAACTGTACTAAATCTTATTGACCTTGATGGAGTATAATAGAATTTGTCTACAAATCAGGAGCTCAGGCAGGATTGCTCACCTTTTACCTAGTGGAAAGCCGATTTTTGCTTTGAGTTTCTGTGATTGCCCACTGGGGTAGTTAGTTGAGTTGTTGGTTGGGTGTAGCAGTGCTGGAAGCCAGCTTCAAATTCTGTCAAATGAAACAACAAGATTGTCCAGAAGACTGAAACCTACCAGTTTAGGACTCCCAGAGTTTGCAGCATGGTGCATAAAGACAATTTGTAATTTTGGTAAAATCTTGTGAAGACCATCGTCATCTGCCATAGGAAGCTGTTAAATCTTTTGGAAATTTTCAATTAAACGATTGAGAAAGTAAAAGCAAAGATTTGTTTGGGTTACAAATAAAACAGCAAAAAGCAACATGAAATGTTTCAGAGCAAACGGGTTTTTTTACTAAGAATCAGTAGAAGTGGAGAGCTCCAGAGCTACTGCCTCATGCCATCAGTTAACAGAATTTGACCTCCAGCAAATTTCTTAATTTTGCTGCATCTGCTCCCTCATCTGTAAAGCTTGAAGCAATAAACCCTGTCTCGTGGGATGATTACAAAGATTTATTCAACACATACAGAGCGCTTAGAATCCCTTAATATGCAATCAAATCTGGCTGAGAAGACAAAGGAAAAGGGTTTGTTCGGTATTTGCAGAAGACCTACTTGCCTTTAAAGTACTAAACACAGTGGGAAATCCTGTCCTCGCAGAGCTTTCCGTGAAGGAAAAAAAAATCTAGCAATTCACGAGTGCCTAGTCCTCTGTGTTCTAGGCACTGTGCCAGGGGTTTCTGCCATTGTCTTTATCTTCACAAACACCATGTGAAATACTTCTCCATCCTTAATCCTTTGTTACTTCTCCTTCACTGTAACAAGTGCCTGAGCTAATCAACTTATAAAAAGAAAACGGTTATTTTGCCTTATGGTGTTGGAGACTCCAGTCCATAACTGAGCCTCTGTACTGGGAGCGGTGGCACATCACGTCAAGAGCGCAGTGCAGAACTCACGTCATGGCCAGGTACATGTGACTGTACAGGACAGAAAACAAAAAAAATGTGGAAAAGGTTTATACTTAGTGATTAGGAAGACTTTGAGGCCCTGACAGGGTTTTCAGAGGATTGGTGCATAAAGCCAAGTTGCAAGGATGTGAAAGTCCAGATTGAAAGGAATGGGAGCAAAGAGTCTTTTGGTTCTAGAAAAGTACTAGTGAGGATAAGGAAACAAAGACGATAAAATATGGTGGCTGGAGAGATGAGTAGATATGAAGGGCTATGTTAGAGCAAGGGGCTGTGAACACACCTGCAAACACACCTGCAAGATGATGTCGGCCTCCATGGTAAGGTCATCCACTGAGAGGGGATGAGGCTGGACTGCCGAAGAGTGAGCAGATCAGAGTGGCCATGGGAAGCGAGGAGTCCCCAGCATCATCAGGAAGCTTCCACGTGCACAGCTGAGCTTGGGTGATAGACCCAAATGGGCTCCCACCTCTTGGTTGCATAAAGACCCTGGCGTTTGGAATCAGAGAACAAAAATGTGATAAAAGTTCTGAGAGCTGAGTAATGACAAAGCTGTCCAAGGAAATGCTGTGAGACCAATTACCGTGATGAGAGTGATGGTCTACGCAGCCAGGAAAAGAATCAAAGTAGGTACTTGAAGGCAAAAGGCCGTTGCTGGGAAGCTGAGACGAAAGCAAAGAGCACAGTCAGTGCGAAGGACCACAGCCTTCAACCGCCATTCCTCTCACAGACATTTGAGAACGTCTACATCTCAAAATCACAGATAGTAAATCCAACACTAAACCTTTGTGAGGGCTGCTGACGGGAAGCAGACTTAGGAAACTCACTGGAGGAGCAATAACTCCTCCTATAAAGTCTCCAAGAAGGAGAGTGAGAGGAGTAAAGCATCTTCGTCCATCATTGCATCACCAGACAGAGCCTAACCCAGAGCAGGCACTCAGTAAGCCACGGATGCAGCATGAGTAACATGGCAGAGCCATTGACACTGAAGCCATCTAGGGAAGTATAGAGGATGCTGCCAAGGCTAGAGTAAAATTAGGGCAAGGGAAGGACAGAGCCATAGTAGTGACGAAACAAAAACTAGCTGGTGGAGTGGCTCAAGTGGTAGCGTGCCTTCCCTAACAAGTGTGAGGCCCTGAGTTCAAACCCCAGAACCGCCAAAAAAACAAAAAAAAATCATGAATCCATAGCCGGACATGGTGGTGCACACCTGTAATCCTAACACTCAGAAGAGTGATGCAGTAGAATCTCGAGCTCAAGGCCAGCCTGAACTACATTAGACCCGTGTCTCAAAAAAAAAAAAACGTGAATCTGAAAAGGAAGACAAATGGGGGAGAAAACCAGGAAGAATGAGCCACAATCATGAGTTCATCAGGATCAAAAAGAGGGCAATGTGAAGGACAAAGAGCTTTGTTCTCCCCAGAGCTCAGTGATTTTCATGGACGCTGCTTTCCTACTGCATCCTTTAGTAACTTTCTCTATACCTGAGTTCCTGAAGGATTTCTGAAGAACTTCTTGCTCAGTTCACAGAGGTTGTGACATTTTATAAAGTAGAAACTCAAGAAAGAGGAAAGAGGCTTGAGGAGGAGGAAACAAGGCAGGTGAAGCTCACTGATTAAGAATCACCAGACCTTTGGAGTCCCTTTTCTCTCTCTTTTTCAGGGTGGGGAATCATTGCTTCCCTATATATGACAGTCCTAATGATATCCAGAATAAGAACACAGCCAGCGTGAAGAATGGATGCAAAGCAGCAAGGTCACAGAGAAGAATGTGGTGGCAAGAGTCAAGATCCTCACCTCCAGCTCCAGGGCATGGGGCAGACCCTTCTTCCCATAGCTCACTGGGTGTCTAGGGGAAAGACAAGGAACAGCAAATCTCTGGGAAGCTAATTGCCATCTCCAGCTCTAGGGACCACAGGCTTGGAATATTTGGAACTTCCTGGGCTGATAGAATACCATAGCATTTAGAACAGCGTACATTTCTTAAGAGGCTGTGTTTTATTTATTGCCTGCATTTTCTTTTACTAGCAGAACTTATTAAAAAGAAGTCATTTGTGAGTACCTTGCACATGTACCAGATCCAGACTGCATTACTACGAGGTTTTAGCCAACACAGAAGATAGGTTGTTGACCACAAGGTCAATCAGGTTCTTTCTTGCATATACGTTTCTTATTCTTTTGAAAAGAATTGGGTTTGATGAATTATATTTTTTTAAAAAGGCAGTTTATTGAAAAGATTACTTTTTACTAAACCTGATAATTGTATAGCAGATAGTTTTATAATTCTTACGTGTTTGGTTTTTTTAACTTTGTGTTGTGGTACTGGGGTTTGAGCTCAGGACCTCACACTTTGGAGGCAGGGGCTTTACCAGTTGAGCCACACCCACAGGCCTTTGGGATATATACCACCACATCCCAGCCTCTTAAGCAGTTTTAAAGGCAGCAGTCCTCATGGGGTGCCATGGGGACACTGTAGGGAAACCTCCAGCCTTCAGTTTCCAAGCACTGGAACTGAAAAAAACAATCTCTTTGGAGATCTGGAAGCTTGAAGGTATCAACAGAAAAGAAAGCCAGAGCCCACTCAGTCCAACTCAGCATGGTCATTAGAAGGCAGGG